GAGAGGAGACAGACAGGTCAAAGAGGCGGGGATGGAGCCAGTAGAGGTGAGTGTAGGTGGGGAGGTAGGGAGGGGATAGGTCAGTCCAGGGAGGACAGACAGGTCAAGGGGCGGGATGAGCTTAGTAGGTAGGAGATGGGGGTGGGAGGAAGGACAGGTTAGGGAGGTGGGGACGAGCTGGGCTGGTTTTGGGATGCGGTAGGGGGAGGGGAGATTTTGAAGCTTGTGAAGTCCACATTGATACCATTGGGCTGCAGGGTTCCCAAGTGGAATATGAGATGCTGTTCCTGCAACCTTTGGGTAGCATCGTTGTGGCACTGCAGGAGGCCCAGGATGGACATGTCGTCTGACGAATGGGAGGGGGAGTTGAAATGGTTCGCGACTGGGAGGTGCAGTTGTTTAGTGCATAGGTGTTCTGCAAAGGGGTTTTGGCCAACAATCGACAATGGATTCATGGTCATCATTACACTCTTAACTCCAGATATTTAATTCAAATTCCACCATAGCGGGATTCGAACCCAGGTCCCCAGAACATTATCTGGGTCTCTGGATTAACAGTCCAGTGATAATATCACTAGGCCATTGCCTCCCAGTAGCAGACACAGAGAATGTAACCACCACCACGTAGGAATGACTGGGCCCCACCCCAGATGTTGCTTTAGAGCACCCCCCGCATTGCCATTGCCATTGCCGCCCACCCACAAACCAGGACCACCACAAATCACAGAAAAAGAACCTGACAAAGTTTTGTTCAGCGTCACCAGCCAGCACATTCCCTTAGGCTACCATGTCCCAACCCACAGGTCCCAAACAACAATTCCCCAGAGCTCAAAGGCAAGTCGCTGGTAGATGGTATAAGCCACAGTCTGGAAGTAGTAATGAGGAGAAAGCCCAGTCTCCTAGATCCAGGCCACAGACTCCAGAATACAGTCACTTATAAATAAGTCAGCGTAGCATGGTGGCACAGTGGTTAGTACTGTTGCCTCACAGCACCAGGGACCTTCGGGCGACTGTCTGCGTGGAGTTTGCACGTTCTCCCCATGTCTGTGTGGATTTCCTCCGGGTGCTCCAGTTTCCTTGTCCAAAGATGTGTAGCTGTGTAGACTGGCCATGCTAAGTTGTCCATAGTGTTCAGGTATGTGTAGATTAGGTGGGTTACAGGCAAAGGGGGATGGGTTTGGGTGGACTTGTTGGGCCGAAGGACCTGCTTCCACACTTAAGCCTCTTGAGCCTGCTCATGATCATTGTTTTCAATGTGGGGCCAAGGGTAGGGCTGAGGTCACAGCATCAGCAGCATCAAGCCACATGTGAGGGCCCAGGGCACGGTCCAGGTCACAGAACCAGCAGCACCAGGCCACAGGTGGGACCCCAGTCACAGAACCAGTAGCACCAGGCCACAGGTGAGACCCAGGTCACAGAACCAGTAGCACCAGGCCACAGATGGGGCCCAGGCAGCAGCAGCAGCAGAACCAGGAGGAGCAGCAGGATCACAAGGTAGCAATGAAAGTCTCTGTCACCAGGAATTCTACTCTGTACACTGGCCAGCCAGCTCCCAGCCAATCTCTAGAATCAGGAGAGTTTCTGAATCTCCTGGTTTTTTCCATTCGCAATCCCCACACTACCACTACACAGCAGTAGTGTTCATATTTTCCCCACAACAACTGTGATGTGTGTGTATATGTGCAGGGACTCAGCAGAGACACCATTGCGTAAAGAATATTATTCAATATTTCCACCGCCAGGAATATACCCATGTGGCCAGTGAACCAGTAACAAGCAAAACCCAATAAGGGCAATGGCTTACATGAAAATAAAGTGAAGGGGGAGGGTAGGGATTATATCAAAATAGAGTTGGAGGGGAAAATAAAGCACTCCACAGCCCGCAGTGACCACCTCTCCCTAAAGACATTGAGAGTATTGGTCGACACTCTGTGCTCCTTTTCCAAAGACAACTGGCCTCAAACATAACTGCGGAAGACGGTCAGACAGTCGGCAGAGACAATGCCTCCGTGGCCCACTGCCCGGACGTGTTTATAGCGAGCCTGGCCAGGCCCAACAGCCCATGAGGAGCTCCATGGATCTGTCCACATCCCTGTGCACTGGATGCCCAAAGATCAGGAGCGTGCGGCTGAAGTGTAACCAAAAAAATTACAAAAAGGCTTTTCAGGTAACTAAAAAAGAGATTGAAAATGCCCACAACCAATATATACATGGTCCACAGACTCCACAGCGCCTCAGTTGGACTGGGAGTCCATGAACCACCACAATCTGTGGTTGTAAGGGACTACTGTGTGTAACACCCTTCATCCCAAGTCCCTGAGGGAAAGAGGGAGGACTCCCACATAGACAGCCCTCCACTGGGCATCTCCACCACCCGGCTTCTACCACCTCCTCTGGCTGCAAATTCCAGCCACTTACCACCCTCTGTGTAAGAATATTACCTGTCACATCTCCTCTAAACTTGCCCCTTTCATATCTTAAACCTATATCCCCTCATAATTGGCATTTCTACACTTGGGAAAAAAAAGATTCCACCTATCCATTCTATGCATGCCTGTCATAATTCTGTAAACATCTATCAGGTCACCCCTCAGCCTCAACATTCAAGTCAAAACAATGACTTTTTAAATTGTCCACCACCATTCATGACGGGAGTTTGCAGGACTGCAGAGCTTATGTCTGATCCATAGGTTGTGGAATCACTTAGCCCTGTATATCCATTGCTTCTTATGCTTTCTGGCAGGCAAGCATTTCTGTGTTGTAGCTTCATCAGGTTGACACCTTACTTTTAGATATGCTTGGTGAATGCCCTCCTGCACTCTTCATTTAACAAGGCTTGATCCAGGTTTGATCCCTGGTTCTATGTTGTAATATTCACATTCATCTGCTGCCCCTGCCCTTCTATTTGTTAGATGTCATGTGTTTGGATGTACTTCCTTTAGTCTCTCTCATGTGTACAGACATGCAAGCACAGTCTCTCTTGAGCATGCGCGCACACACGCACAGTCTCTCTTGCACGCACACACTCACGCACAGTCTCTCTCGCACGTACACATGCACAGTCTCTTGCACACACACACACATGCAGTCTCTCACACACATGAACTGTCTCTCTCACATAAGCACAGTCTCTCTCAGACACACACACAGGCTCTCGCACGCACGCACACATGCGCACAGTCTCTCATGCACACACGCGCACACCGGCACAGTGTCTCGCACGCACACGCAGACACATACACAGTCTCTTGCACGCATGCACATACACGCACAGTCTCTCACACGCATGCACGCACAGTCTCTCATGCGCACATGCACACACACGCACAGTGTCTCACACACACGCACGGTCTCTCTCACACATGTACAGTCTCCCTCACACACGCATACACACACACAGTCTCTCGCAAGCACGCACACACACATTCTCACGTGTGCATGGTCTCTCACTCACACATGCACAATCTCCCTCACACATGGGCAATGTCTCACTCACACACACACACAAGGGCAAGGTCTCACTCATACACACACACACGTGCGCACGCGCGCGTGCAAGGTGTCACTCACCCACACAAGCGCATGCAAAGTCTCACTTGCACACACAAAAGTGCGCGCAATGTCTCATTCGCACACACACAAGCACGCATGGTCTCACTTGCACACACATGCACGCTCAAGGTCTCCCTTGCACATGCACATACTCAAGGTCTCCCTTCCACACACACACGCTCAAGGTCTCCCTCATACATGCATGCGCGTGCGCTCAAGGTCTCACTTGCACACACACGTGCACACGCAAGGTCGCACTCGCGCGCACACACACGTGCGGACAAGGTCTCCCTTGCACACATACACAAATGCGCAACGTCTCATTCACACACACACAAGCGCGCAAGGTCTCACTCACACACACGTGCACACAATGTCTCCCTCACACATACACACACAATGCACTCACACACAAAGCCCGCGTGCTCAAGGTCTCACTCGCACACATATACGCGCGTGCACAAGGTCTCACTCTCACACACGTGCGCGCAAGGTCTCTCTCGCACACACGCGCGCACGCAAGATCTCACTCGCACACGCGCGCACGCACGGTCGCACTCGCACATATACGCGCAAGTCTCGCGCGCACACACGCACGCGTGCGCGCAAGGTCTCCCTCGCACAGAGATAGTAGGAACTGCAGATGCTGGAGAATCTGAGATAACAAGGTGTAGGGCTGGATGAAGACAGCAGGCCAAGCAGCATCAGAGGAGCAGGAAGGCTGACGTTTTGGGCCTTCGACAAGTTGCCCCTACCCGGCCACAGCACATGACACAGGGGCCGGAGATGGTCAGAGTGAAATCACTGTGAATGAAATGAGAGCATTAAAAAAAAAACTGGCCTTTTGGGGCTGAGAGATGAATTACTTAATTCAATTTCCCTGATGAATGTTCTTTCTTTCAGAGTTTTGTTTAGTGGAGTCTCTCCTAGTGTCGGGTCTACAATGTATTTGATGAGCGTGGGAGGGCGACACAGTGTTCGGTTCCAAACAACAACTCAGCCCCTGATGGATTATACAGTGACTCTTGATGCTGATACTATCGTTACCACAGAGGAATAGTCTCAGCACTGATCAATCTCTGTCCCAGGTCCTAACATAAACTGAGTTATCACTGAGGTGTCATGTTAAGAAGTCTACAGTTGTTTGTTTTAAAAAATAATTAGCAGAATATTACACACAAACAAAACTTTATTACACAAACAACCACATGTTTTTTGACAAAATTGAACGTAGCTTTATAAACAATTGAATACAGCTAATCATAATAAATAATTAATAACAAACAGGCTTACTATACATTTGAACAGATTGCAGAGCAGTGAGTACAGACTTTGTGACGTCTTGTTGCAGCTGTACAAGTTGTTGTTGAGGCCACTTTTGGAGTACTGCGTGCAGTTCCGGTTGCCCTACAACCGAAAGGATATTATTAAACTAGAAAGAGTGCAGAACAGATTTACGACGATGCCTCCTGAATTGGAAGGTTTGAGTTATAAGGAGAGGTTGGATAGGCTGGGGCATTTTTTTTCCCCTGGAGAATAGGAGACTAAGGAGTGACCTTTTCAGCGTCTATAAAATCATGAGAGGCATAGATAAGGTGGATAGCAACAGATTTTCCCCATGGTAAGGGAGTCAAAAACTAGAGGGCATAGGCCATGCTGTAGACCTCAATGACTCTATAAAAGCTTCACAGTCACAGCTATATTTCCCTCTGCTCGATAATGAATATCACGTACATACAGGCTCACCAGCTGCTACTGAAATTTTCCACCAAATCTTGTTGAAACAAGGAATACTCCACATCGCTTCCATTTTATTTCAGAATTCCAGGAATTGTTTTTCTGGAGTCAATGTAATATCTTGTGCGTTTCACTTTATCTTTTATGGAGGTGAGAAAAATACAACTCATGCTAAGATAGAGCCCACACAGCAGGCAAATTCTCCATCCTTTGATTACACAAATATTCGTAAACCAGCCCTGCATTCTCTCAATGATCGAAGCTGCTTCTTTCCATCAGAACTGAACAGATTCCTCCATAATCTAAGAAACAGATAAACAATTAATAGCCAACCAATAAAGTTAAAATTACAGAATCATTTAATTATCCAACTGCAATTTTGAAATCGACATGTAAGTGGCTATACAATTACAAAGGGGTGTAAGGAGGGTTTGGGGAGAGAATCTAAAGAGCTGCCACACACACAGACAGTGTTATAAGAAACTAAGGTATCGATATTAGGAGAATGATGTAAGTTGGGCGTATACTGGACTGGTGGAATCTCACTGGACTTGTAATGCAATGACCTAGGGTACAAATACAAGTAACTGACAGAATTTAATCTCAAATAATTAATCCATCTGGAATTGAAAGGTAGTTTCATAGTCACCATTGCAGAAACTATCATCAATTGCTGTAAATACGTATCTGCTTCATTCATGTCCTTCACAGAAGGGAATCTGAAAATCTTACCTGCTCTGGCCCGGAAGTGTTTTCAGAAAATATTAAGTGATTCTGAATGATATATAATGTATGGTTAAAGATATATGGTTCGGACATGAATATGGAATGAAAACGGGATGACTATCTGGTTTCAACTTCAGCATTGAAATTGACAACATACACAGTCAACACGGTAAAGCACTTCTTCCTAATGTTTGGCATCAAGGCAAATATGGACAAGGTATTTATTTTTTGCTGATTTCTACCATTGTTGGTAAATTAAATATGGATTTGGCCTTTGAACACCATCTCAAAGAAGTGCTTCCAGTGGCAAAGACAGAGAATAGAGTCTGACTGGGGAACATAAGATTCTTAGTAGCAACGTGAGGGAACAAATTTCTCAACCTGAGGACCTTCTCAACTAGACTAGCCCCGAAGCTAGTGTGAAGGGAACCAATAAGACAGAACAAATTATTTCATGTTAATGAGAAGGGGATCGCAGAGGACACAGTGCTCAACAGGAGGAAGAGGATCCAGAGGGCAGTAGTAAGAAGTGACTGAAGAAAATTCTGGGAGAAGTTACCGCCATAACACAGAAGGAGATCGCAGAGATCAAAGAATAGGTGGATAAACCTCTGGAAAGGAAGGGTGAACAGCATTGTCTGTGATTCACGTGGGAACCAATAATCAACAAGTTTCAGACAGATCAAACAGCATCTTTCACTGAGTTGATGGTCTTCCAGGCGCAGTTGATGTTTGTCTCTGTGTGTGTCCCAGGGAACAGACTGTAGAGCACAGAGTCCTGCGTCACGAAGCTGCTCAAGACGAATCTCAACAAAACACACTGTATCTTTCTCCAGACTTACTTTGCAAAGGCACATTCCAGTAGGAGATGTGTAACAGTCTCTACCCCATCCCTCAGCCCCTTTGAGGGTAGCATATGGTGGTGCAGAGGCAGAGAGAGAGAGAAAGACAGAGAGGGAGAAAGAGACAGACAGAAAGAGAGACAGACAGAGACAGAGAGAAAGAGAATTCAATGACAGGAGCAGGGATGTATAGTAGCGTATGTGCAGGGCCTTGGTGAGACCACACCTGAAGTATTGTGCACAGTTTTTGTCCCTCATCTGAGGAAGGACATTCTTGCCATAGAGGGAGTGCAATAAAGGTTTCCCAGACTGATTCCAGGGATGGCAGGACTGATGAATGAAGAGAGACTGGATTGGTTAAGACTATTTTCACTGGAAGTTAGAATAATGAGGGGCACCTCACAGAAACCTACAAAATTCTAACATGATCACTCAGGGTAAACACAGGAAGGATATTCCCAAAGAGGTCAATGTCTAAGGATATGGGGTAGGCCATTTAGAGCTGGGACGTGGTTAAATTTCTTCACTCAGGAAACGGTGAGCCTGTAGAATTCCTTGCCACAGAGTGTGTGTGGAGGCCAAACACTGAATGTTTGAAGAAAAAGAGTTAAATATAGTTCCTGAAAAGAATAGAAATCGCTGAAAACTCAGCAGGTCTGTGGAGAGAGACACAGTGTCAGTTCTAAAAGAAGGGTCACTGGACTCGAAAATGTTAACTCCATTTTCTCTCCACAGATGCTGTCAGGCCTGCTGAGTTTCCTCAGCAAGTCGGTTTCTGTTTCAGATTTCTAGTATCTGCATTTCTGTGCTTTCGTACATCATGTTGCGACTGTACAGAACATTGATTAGGCCACTTTTGAAATACTGAATGCAATTCTGGTCTCCCTGCTATAAGAAGGATGTTGTGAAACTTGAAAGGGCTCAGAAAAGATTTACAAGATGCTGCCAGGGTTGGAGGGCTTGAGCTACAGAAAGAGGCTGAATAGGCTGGGGCTATTTTTATTGGAATGTCGGAGACTGAAGGTGACCTTATAGAGGCTTATAAAATCATGAGGGACATTGATACAGTGAATAGCCAAGGTCTTTTTCTGGGATGGAGGAGTCCAAAACTAGAGGGCCTAGATTTAAGATGAGAGGTGAAAGATTTAAAGGGACCTAAGGGGCAACCTGTTCATGCAGAAGGAGGTGCACATATGGAATGAGCTGCCAGAGGAAGTGGTGGAGGCTGGTACAATTACAATATTTAAAAGGCATCTGGATGTGTACATGAATAGGAAGGGTTTGGAGGGATATGGGCCAAATGCTGGCAAATAGGATAAGATTAATTTAGGATATCTGGTCAGCACGGACGAGTTGGACCAAAGGATCTGTTTCATGCTGTACAACTCTATGACTTGAGTTAGATATAGTTCTTAGGGCTAAAAGGGTCAAAGGGTATTGGGGAGAAGACAGGAACAGGTCTCAGAGTCACCCATGATATATTTAATGGCAGTTCAGGCTCAATGGGCTAAATGGCCTATTACTGCTCCTATTTTCTGTGTTTCGATTAATTATGTTGAGCAGGCCTGAAGAACTTGCTGTGGACATGACATAAGGCAATTATTGTCTAGAATAAGATTGAAATGTTTAACACTTGAACATTAGCATAAGCACTCACTGAATCAGCTCCAAATTCTTGCAGTTGATGATGAAGTTTCTCATAGTGGGAATACAATCATCTGTGAATTTATTTCCATCCAGGTATAGCATTGACAATGATTGGCTCACACTAAAGGCCACCCTCAGGTCTTCAATGCAAGCAAATGTCAGATTGTTATCCTGCAAACTAAAGGTTAATAATTAAAATCAGTTTTCAAAACGGCTCAGAAAGGTAAAAAAAAGGTAAGGAAGAGCAATACACATATGAGCACAAGAAAAGGAGAAGTCTTTTGAACCATCAGCTTCCTTTCCAATTTATTTGACTCAGTAATGACTAATAATCGATTCAATCCAATGTTTTTAGTCCTTAATACTATTAGAGCCTTAACTGAAATGTACTACTCTTCATTTTGAAAAGAAAATGTTTTACCACAGCCTCATAGAATCAAAGAAGGCACAATGCAGGAAGAGGTCATTCGAGTCTCTCAATGAGTTAAGTTACTTACTGCCATTCTCCAGCTTTTATCCCGTATCCCTATGCTTTGTGCCTTTCCATGTCAAAGTTTACTTCCTCTGTGAACACTGTCCCAACTGAACCTGTCTCTGCTATTACCTCAGGCAGCACATTCCAGACCTTCACCAGTCACTGTGCAGAAAAGATGATTTCATATCGCTCTTGCTTCTTTTGGCAATTACTTGAAATTTTGTGCTCTCATGCTTGATCATTTCATGGCTGGGAACAGTTTATTGCTACCTGATTTGATTTTAATTTGATTTTATTTCTTGTAGTCACATGCACCTAAGAACAAAGCTTTTCACTGCATTGCGAGCAGTACAGGCAGATCAAAACAAACAAGGACATAGAGATCACATGGTGCTTAGACAGAGTGAGGCATACAGGTTACAACTACACAGAAGGTACACGAGGCAGAATCAACATTATTTGAAGCTAAAGAGTCCATTCATCAGTCTAATCATGGCGAGGAAGAAGCTGTTCTTGAACCTGTAGGTGCATGTGTTCAAACTTCTGTATCTTCTGCCTGATGGAAGAGGTTGTAGGAGAGCATTACCGGGCGGGCGTGATCTGTGATGATGTTGGCAGCACTTCCGCGGCAACAAGAAATGTAAATGCAGCCCATGGATGGAAGGTTGGCTTCCGTGATGGTCTGAGCTGTGCACACAAATTTCTGTAGTTTTTTACGCTCCTGGGCACAACAGTTGCCATACCAGGCTGTTATGCACCTGGACAGTATGCTTTCTATGGTGCATCTGCAGAAGTTGGTGTGGGACCTTTTGGCTGAATTTCCTGAGCCGCCTGAGGAAGAAGAGACGTTATTGTGCCTTCTTGACTGTCGCATTTACGTGGGAAGTCCAGGAGAGGTCGTCAGTTACATCGTTCCTAGGAACTTGACGCTCTCGACCCTCTCCACCTCAGCTCCGTTGATGTAGATGGGGGCATGTTCTCCTTTCATCCTAAAGTCAATGATCAGTTCTTTTGTTTTGCTGACATTGAGAGACAGGTTGTTATCATGGCACCATGACACCTCTATCTCCTTTCTGTATCTGGACTCATTGTTGTTTGATATCTGTCTGACTACAGTGGTGTCATCAGCAAACTTGTAGATGGCGTTTGTTTGGAATTTGGCTACACAGAAAGTAGGGTGTACAGGAAGTACAGAGAATGAGAATGCATCCTGTGGGGGTCCAGTATTGAGGATTATCATGGAGGAGGGGCAATTGTCTATCTTCACTGATTGTGGTCTGTGGGTCAGGAAGCTGAGGCTCCAGTTACAGAGGGTGGAGGTGAGACCTAGGTCCTGGAGTTTTGAGATTAGTCTGGAGGAGATTATGGTGTTGAAGGCAGCGTTGTAGTTGATGAGTAGGAGTCTTATGTAGGTGCCCTTATTATCCAGATGTTTCCTCTGTCGTTACAATTTATAATACTTCAATCAAATTTTGTCACAGCTTCCTTTCTTTAAGGGAGATACATCAAATTTTTGGAATCCACCTTCATAACTACGTTCATGATACCTGAAATCCTTTTAATGAATTGTTTCTTTCCTCTTTCCAATGCTCTGTAACTCTCCAAAAGTGCCATGACAGCATGGGATGTAAATACATCAGCTTAGGCCAAGTTTTTTTAATTGAACAAACAAATTAAACATAACCATTTTTCTTTATTTTCTGATTCTTAACAACTTTTATTGTTGAGAACCCCAAATAACATTCTAGGTTGAAGAAGTGTGGCCTGAACTGGCTCCCGAACAAATGGCTTACTGTAACTTTAAAATAATGTTCTTTTCTCAATCTTCTATCTAGCTACTCTGTCCCATCATTCAGCATTTTAAACCTCTCCATTGGTTGTCACATGACCATATTTTCCACTAAAAGAAATCATAAATGTTTCTGAAAAATGTGCCCTATTAAGTTTCTGATTCAACTTCTCCCTACTATCTTTCTGTTGAAATGTTGTTGCAGTCTAATATTTACTTGTGCAGAACAGAACAGAGTACTCCAGGTGCAGTCTAGCAAGATACATTACCACTGCAGCATTAATTCCATTCACATTACTGCACTGACAAATGAAAAGAGAATAATTGAAAAATAAATCAACAGATATATATATTCAACAATGGTAACGTCAAAGACGAAGCAAATTCTTGACTTGCTAAAATTAATTCCGCACAAAATTTAGGGTTAACATTGGGAAGATTACTTACTCCAGTCTCTTTGTTTTGCATTCTGGGTGCACCAATGATGCAGACAAAATGCTGATTCCGGTATCTCCTATGCTGTTGTCATTCAGCCTAATGGCCAAGAAAAAAATAAACAAATAAGGAGTGGAAAATCTCTTTGATTCAAAAAAAATCTACTTCGCCTTGCAGAAACCTACCCATTGTTTCTCATTGTTTTATCTGCCCATGCTTCAATGGGCCAGAGTTGTGCAAAATTAGGAAATAGATTGAAATCTTGAATAAGGCACAATGGTTCTCATTAAATTACTTGGTGTCCAGTGAACGCAGATTTCAAACAATGGATTCAATAAGAAAAATTAGAGATATACAGCTTTTATTAGATATTTTACTCAGCAAGTTGCTGTTACTCATATTCACTGACTGAAAGGCTATTGACAGTACAATCCAGCAAAACTCTGAAAAGAAGAATTTGATATATTCCTGAAGGAGAAAACATATGATGGTTTTGAGGGAAGAGGAGACGAACAGGATGAAGTGTGTAGGTCATTTAAGGCGCCAGAACAGACACAATTGGTCAGATGGCCTTATTATGTACTGCCCATTCTATGACCTGTAAATAGAATATTTATTTTAACCAAAAACTGGACACAGGTTAGTGTTAGGCAGGAAAGTGATTATCTTATATCCAATATTGTTTTTACATTTGTACATTATATTTAATTGAACTCTTAGATTTTTCCCCAGCAGTCATGTAAAGTACGTGGTGATGAGCTGCCCAATCTCCCTGCTGCTTAGATAAATGGTGAATTCTGTGCTACCACATAAAGCTAAGCATGCCTCCTGTAAGTCATAGACTGTTGGACCTCTATTCCAAACCCAACCTGACCCTCACCCTTAACAGTTCAGATACATGAACAGCAGCCTTACTGCATT